GCAGAGAAACATCCATAGTGGAGAGGGGTGAGAGACTGCAGAGAAACATCTATACTGGAGAGGGGCGAGAGGCTGCAGAGAAACATGCATACTGGAGAGAGGTGAGAGGCTGCAGAGGAATATCCATACTGGAGAGAGGTGAGAGGCTGCAGAGAAACAGTTAAATTAGAGAAGGAGGAAGAAGAAGCTGCAGAAAATCAACCAAGCAGGAGAGAGGAATGGGAACAGAGGCTGCAGAAAAACTGCCGCACGCAGTACGAGAGGGCAGGAGGTTGGAGGCTCAAGAAAAATAGGGACACAATAGAGAAGTCTGTTGTTTACTTTACTCAACAGCTCAAGCTAAAATGTACACACACAAGTGAATTAGTGAGAGCTGTGACTGATTACCATATAAACAGCTCATTCCGAAGTTTCAATCCAACAAACCACAGCTTTAAAGCAAGAGGTGCATTTAGCAAACTCATATGGTTCTATCAATGTTTTTTTTAATAAAATGCTAGTGCTGATTTAAACATATATCAAACAACAGTTAGAAAATGTATACAACCTGAAAACAAACAACTACATTAAAACAGACCAAAACCATCATAGTTTCCTTTTCATTTAGATATAAGGTAAAATATAATGTATACGATTTCCCTACAAAGAACAAAAATCGGATGTAACATTTAAAAATGTGAAATCTAAGTATATATATTACATTACACAACAATGCGGCTGCTAGGTGTGCTGCATTATAGTAAGCCACAGGGTGTCCTGACAGAAGTACGGGTGACTTCTCGTCTGCTGCAGGATATAAGGAAATCTTCTCGCCCTTTAAAAGAAGCCTTGTATTTTTATGAATGAATACAAGGCTTTCTCTGGCTGGCTGAGCTGGAGATTGTGAGGACATCTGCCCACCTTGCCCCCTCTGCTAATAAGAGGAAGTTTTGTATTCATTAATAAAAGGTTTCTACTGAATGAAGGAGAAGCACTAAGCCTGACTCTCGTTATTATTATTATTATTATTATACAGTATTTATAAAGCGCCAATGGTTCGCTCAGCGCTGTACATTACAAAGGGGGACAGAACATGTGACAGAACAATACCAATACAATGCAAAACATGAGGGGATTGAGGGCCCTGCTCTTTTGAGCTTACAATCTAGGAGCAGACAGCAGACGGGAAGTTGCCAATACTGCTTCCAGAGCACGGCACCACTTACTGTATGTAGCTAATGCTACCACAGTCTATTACAGAACACCCAATGGCCCCATCATTCTGGAAATAGTTCATTTGGGTCAACTTGGCCCAAACAACTATTTAAACTGAATAAAATATGGAGTTGTATTTTAAAGAAATGTTTAACCAACTGTATCAAAGAGTGGTTTAAATCTGGAGTTACTGAGTACTGCTAATGTATGTTGATTTCTAGCATATATACTTAAACCATCAGTTTCAAAGGGTTCTTCTATATAACAATAGTTGACAAAGCATTATAAAGCATTAAGCGCTGTTCAAAAGATCCATTATTTTCTAACACATAAATATACTGGAGTTACTACTAGCTGTCCTTCAAAATCAAGAACCTGAAGGCCATTGGAAAAAAAAATCTGTCCTTGATAAGCACAATATCTGTAGAGGCTACATCAGTGTCATATGAATTCTTTTGGGTTCAAGGTTATAAGTACTTGTTTTGTAAATCAGAAGCCCACCATGAATCCTGGAATGACAATGCTACATCACATTTTAAAGCTATGTATTACACATAACAAAAATGACATTACTGTTAGGGTTAGCTCGGTTGCATCCTTCACTATTGAGTTAATGAAATGCTTCAGTACTGTACGTATACCCATGGTTGTTTTTATGTATTTATGTTTATCACTAAACAATAATAAAGACATTAAATCTGGTATATTTCAATTGCAGCATATTAATATTTAATTTGTACCCCTTGCAGCCTGCAGCTGAAAGAATATGCATTTTCTGAAATTCACATACAACCATTGTACACAAATTAAATCTAAATAATTCCAAAGAGAGACAACCCCCTTCCCTCTCAGCAGACTCAGGGTCTTAATTAGGCGATTTAGAGTGGCTGTTACAAAGCACGCAGACAATAATGAGCATGTTTTGAAAAACTCAGTGTCATGATATAGCCGGTTTAAACGTTTTATTTTGTAAAATAACATATGTATTGATTTTGTTTTAAGTTGTAGGACATGTCATGAGAAAATACGGAGTCTCCCATTATTGCCCAATTTGAAAATCTGGCTCTCATGCTGACCCTCTGGTTTCAATGCTTTCTGAATCACCAAGAAGAAGTATCCTGGGGGTTTTAAATGGATACATGCTTGTGCTGGGACATTGACTTAGAAAATGTGAACCTAGAGAAAGTCAGGAAACTAGCATTTTCAGAAGATTGGTAATGAAAGAATACTTTTTTTTTCAGTGCAGGTTTCCTACTAAGTCATTTCACAAAATCTTAAGCAACTCCTAGAGCTATAGAGAAACTGATTTAATAGGCTCTGTATTTACAATGCTCTGGAGAAAAATGCATTTTCTATATTATCTGCTATTTTAGGTTTAAGACAAATGTATAGTGTTTTATATTGTTTATTTATTTATTTTTTTATTTATTAGGTATAGGACTAGAAAATAAATGAAAACAAATCATTAAACATTTTTAAATATGTTTTTAATAAAAATTTGAAAATCTGCACTAGGGACAAAACTTACAGTTAGCATGAAGTGCTCTTTGTGCAGATGCCTCTTCTGCTAGCTGAAAATTTCTTCCATCGATGCCCCTCTACCCACCCTCATAAACTTCCTATGTCACAGCGGTTAATAGAACTGTGGGGGCTGTCTCAAGCTCTCAAAATGCCTGCCCTTTCCACCCAGCTTCTCCATTCATAGAAACCAGTACTACTTATATGGAAAGCGTTCTACTAACGGAGGAGATGGACCTTTCAATCAATCAACCCATTCGTAGATTGCTTTCCATTCATAGAAACTGTAGCACCAGTGTCTATTGGTGGTGTATCTGGGCGGATGGGCATAGTCGGGCACTCTTAATGAAAGGCTGTGACAGTTCCCATAGTTCTATCAACCCCTGATGCAATGGAAGATTACAGGAGGGATGGGGGGCATCAATGGAGGAGGATTTCAGCTAACAGGCATCTGCACAAAGGACACTTCCTACTGGCTATACATTATGTCACTTATGGTTATTTTTGTGTTTTTTTTTATTTTGAGTACATTTAGGCTTTAATATTTTTGCAAGTGGTAATTTCATGACTAAATTTGCAGCTAGCAGGTGTTGCTCTAGGCCCCTTTTCACATACAGACCTATCTATACCCAATACTTTACTGAAAAAAGATTCTTGCATGTAGAGCTTTATCATTAAAGCGGTTTTAAAGTCAAAATGTTTTTTACCTTAAAGTGGAATGATAGGCAAAAATTTTCATTTCAATTTGGATACAGCAAGGGAAGGTTATAACTCGGCATGTTTTTTTAGCCATCTGTGTCCCATTGCAGAGATTTCCCTTCACTTCCTGTCCCATAGCCCAACAGGAAGTGAGAGGAAATTCCTGAAAATTAATTGAATTCCTTGGGAACCTCCAGGTCAGCAGAACTAGTAACACCATTTGAAGATTTCCCTGCTATTATTTTTCTGGGGACATTCCAATATTTGGGATTTTCTTTTACTTTCAATATGATAATGGTAAACAGGACAAATAGAGAGGGTGAATCTCCCTAATGGGGGCACAGACAGCAATAAGAATTGACAGGCATTTTAATCCCTCTCCTCTCTACCCAAAACTTAAAAAACATTTTGCCTTTAGTTATATTTAATACATTCCCTGCATTAAGGTAAAATGCACCTCATTATCTGTCCTACCCACCCCATCCCTAAACATTTACCTGACTCCTGTCGCTGTTCCAGCACTATCTTGGCTGCAGCAACACTCCCCCCACATCTAGAGACACTGAGGGCAATCTGAGCCAAACTCCTGTGACGAGGGAGCAGGGACAAGACTTACTGGTGCTGTATGTGTAGATGGATGCACACAGCCCGGCTCAGGTACCTTGCTGCAGAAGCATATGGTAGAGAGAACACAGCGCCAGCGAGGGACTTCCAGAAGGGTAGGCAAGAGGCCTTTCTGTGGAATGTCACTGCACAGAGTAGGCAAGTATAACCCCCTTTTTTAACCAGAAGAACAAAACCTTTAGTTCACTTTAAATCAGACTGACTAGACCTTGTTGTAGACTTCATTGCTGAAGTATAAAAGCCTGGTCCAGAATCTAGCACAACCTGTGGCTGGAAAATAAGGAATGCCAATGCATACATAGTTGTCTCCCCAACTATAAGCAATATTTTTAATTTTTTTTTTATTTATGTATTACAGGTATTTATATAGAGCCTACTATTTGCAAGGCACTTTACATATTGTACATTCACATCATTCTCTGTCCTCAAGGTCCCTATCCCACATGCATACATATACATACTAGGGTCAACTTAGACATGATCCAATAGAGCCTTGCCTGAATTATTAAATCATGTATTATATGTACCTGACTTGTATGGTGTCTTTCTATATCTGTCTATATACTGTAAGTAAAAACCCTGTGGATTGTTGATCCAGGTAGTATCTATGCAAAAACCCTGTGGATTGTTGATCCAGGTAGTATCTATGCAAAAACCCTATGGATTGTTGATCCAGGTAGTATCTATGCAAAAACCCTGTGGATTGTTGATACAGGTAGTATCTATGCAGGTTTTTAATACATGTATTTTGCTCTTTTGGCTGAACTCCATGATCAATTGTCTTTTTTTCATACTGAGTACCTATATAACTATTACCAAAGTTCAGGCTTAATTGCAAAGTGAGAGCTTCCAGCAAACACAAAGGGTGCTGGCATCGTTATCATAAATCAAATTAGCTATGTTTTTCAGTTGATAAATATTTCACTGAAGCAGAAACCAAACAATGCAGTTTTCTATAGTCTTACCTAGCAGTATTATAATGCAGAGGAGAATGGCAATCAATGCTCCTGTACTCAAACCCGTGGGGTGGCTTAGCGCTTCAGCTGTACAAGACTGCATGTTACCCTTGTGGTCGCAGGCACACACACGGATGGTCAGAGTACCAGTGCTAATCTGCACAGGGAACCCATAATCAGAAATGACCACTGGTAAGAGGTATGTATTCATCTCATGGCGACTATATCCATTTCTTCTAGTGTATATGCTGGCTGTGTTATCTGCAATCAGAGTACATAACGTTATAATCACTTTCATAGCAGACCCAACAATCACAAAGCATTTAATTCGGGCACACTAACCTCCATTATCTTTGACAGTAAAGTTGGTATCTGCTGATGAATAAGAAAACCGAAGTCCACTGTATGAATCATCCTTATCCACTGCACTCACAGTATGTATTATCTGTAATAAATATATTCAGCAAGGTCAAATAATAGCTCAATCAAAAACATTTTCCTTTATACCAAAATAAAAAAAAACATATTGCATAACATACAGTATATTGTGTTAAATTATGTGCAACTAGAATGCAAAATATGCCTTTTTTCAATAAATATAACCTCCCAGAGTAGTTATTTAGGGGAGGTGTGAAAATTCATCATATCCAGTATGCATGCAAATGAGCAGTTTCTAATTTATATCTAAACTTCGGGTAGATATAATGCAACTCTGCAGTCATTAATATGTCGTTGAAGGTATGTTGTTTTTTTTAATACAAGCTGTTTAAGTACCTGGAATCAGCATCCTAAAGTCTCTGTACAGCTGAGAGGGGAAGGGAGACGCAGCACAAGCAGCCAATCAGGTGTGCAGCACTACAAGTAGCTTGTTGATAGCTTGTGACACCAGAGGTAGGCTCAGCAGCGTGCTGCTTCTCTTTTCACTGTCCAGTCACAGGATTGGGGCAGAAAGGGGACCTATAAGTGAAAGTAGAACTCCTGCAGCAAAACAACCAGGTCTCCTTCCAGACAGGACTATGCTGTGTGGCAAAACTGTGTAATTCTCAGAACTGGATGATCAGAAATTCAATTTCAAATCGTTTAGCAGGTTTAACAGCTTCCATATATCAATATAAGCTGTGTATATGTCGGTTTGCCTGTTGAACTTTAGAATTATTATTTCATTTGAAACATTAGGCCAGACAAGCTAACAAAGTAGTAATAAAAATAATGACTGATAGAAGCTAGATCTTTCGCTAAAAACATCTGCCTGGATTGACTGATAATGAATGCTTATCCATATCATGGGGGAAGTAAGGAGAGCAGACGGGCATCTGGGCTTTGGCTTTTCTAGGGGAAAGCCTTGATTGACTGGGGAAATGCTGTTCCTTGATTTTACAAATGCAGGCCAAGGTCTGTTTGCAATGGCTGGGGAATGTAGTGAAACATGTTTTTGTTCTCGATCTGAATGTAAGAAGCTGGATAGGCAAACACCATTTATATCTTTGAGTACTTCTAACATGAAATGTACTATTGAGTACTTCCTGGTTACTTGAGTGCTAATCTGCAGGATGAAGTTTCCATCTGGTTAGACTGAAATCCAAACATAAAACATACTTCAGTACTTGAAGTAGCTGCTTATTTGGTAACAAACCAATTATAATAATTAAAAGGCCCAGATGTCAGGCTTTGCAAAATCTTGGATATCAGTACTTCATGTATAGACCATAAGTACATTAACCCCTTGAAGACCTTAGGCACAGAAGCTAAGAAAAATCAAGGGTATATCTCCTATGCCCTGCGCCTCTTCTTCTGCTGCCTCTCACCCGCTTAAAATTGCTAAGAATAACATACAGTACTTGTCTGTTATTACACTTCTCTGCTGTGGGAGTGAGGGAAAGTGAATAGATGTTGTATTGGACAGGGGGACAGCAAAACTATACTCAAGGCAGATATAAAAGATGCAAATTAATGCAGATTTATATGTATTATTAGATTACTAAATGTATTTTTTAATGCAAGCATTGTATCTAATTTTGACCTGGTATCAACCTTTTGCAGCTTGGTATAGCAGAAGTAAAGCCTGCCATAGATTGAATGAAATTCAGCCAGTTCAGTAGGGACTGGTCAAGATTCAATACATGTATGGGCAGGTTGATTGTACCCAAGTCGATCCATCGATCAACTTGGGTACAAGCAGCCTGTCGTTTTTTTTCCACATGCAAAATACTGCCAGCGGCTATAGCTAATCATTGTGTTCTGCCAGCCGGGAAGGTTCCCCGTGAATTCACCGACCCCCCCCCCTAGACAGAACACAAAAGTGCTGTAAGAGGCATTCCCCCATCAACACTGACTGTGTTGATGGTGGAATTCAGCAACTTTAATTTCTTTCTAAGGAAAGAAAGATGAATCGTCTGTGGGCTTCCTGAAGCTGGCCACAGACAGTTAGCATCTCGGCCAGTTCAGCAGGATCGCTCAAAATTCAATCCATGTACGGGCACGCTGATTGTACCAAATCCCCTGATCAACTTGGGTACAACCAGCATGTCAGATTTTTTGGATGCTGTCTCGGTGTGCCCCGTGCCCCCCCCCCCCCCTGTGCCTGCTGTCCCTCTCCTGTCCCTTCACCCTTCCCTCCCCCCTTGCAGATTCCTCACATCCTGTCATAGCCTACTTCAAAAGGCTGTGCAGGGATGGGAGGAAGCAGCCCCTGTGGTGCGGGTCGCACCTCTCCCGGCAATGTCACCGGAGAGTTGCGACCTCCCGCCAGGAGACCCCCGGCACAGGCCGCCGGGATGTCTCAGCGCGTCCCCCCCGGTGGGCACAGCGCAGGCACGAGGCTTCTCACACTCTGCGCTCGCCTGAGACAAAGGCCGCGCTCACGAGAGCGCGGCCCGGGTCAGGGGGCGTGCCTCGTTGCCCCGGCAACGCAGCGCTGGGCCGGATGTTGCCAGGGCAAGCGGGAAGCATCCTGCTCCGGCTTTAAAAAGGCCGGACCTGGACCCAGCCCGTGCTTTTTCTTCCCGCTGGTCCCTGGAGCTGCTGCCAGGAGGTCTGGAGCTGCTGCCAGGAGGTCTGGGCTGCGGCCAGACTCCCGCAGCCATCCCCGCTGAGCACCCTGCCGATCCCTGTGCCCAGAAATACTCTGCTGTCGCTTGTGCCCAGAAATACTCTGCTGTCGCTGGTGCCCAGAAATACTCTGCTGTTGCTATGTGCCCAGAAATACTCTGCTGTCGCTGTGTGCCCAGAAATACTCTGCCAGCGCTGTGGGCCCAGAAATAATCTGCTGCCGATCCCTGTGCCCAGAAATACTCGGCTGGAAGTACCCGCTGTGTGTCCAGAAATATTCTGTTGGATTACCCGCTGTGTGACAAGGAGTATCGTTGCCTGCTGCCGGCTGTGTGTGCCAGAGGTGACCCCTGCCAGAACTGTGAGTGTGCATACCCCCCCTGTTTGGCCTGCCTAGACTATCCGTGAATCCCCCTGTTTGCCCTGCCTGGACTATCCGTGAATACTCCCCCGTTTGCCCTGCCTGGACTATCCATGAATCCCCCTGTTTGCCCTGCATGGACTATCCGTGAATCCCCCTGTTTGCCCTGCCTGGACTATCCATGAATCCCCCTACTTTTCCCTGCCTGGACTATCCGTGAATCCCTCGATTTGCCCTATTGTGGGCCGGATTACAATTGTTTCAGGCTCCGCCCCTCTCTTTCCCCTTTTTTGGGTACCCGGACGCTACCTCCCTACCTTGATTGAGTGTCTCCCATATGTCGATAAAGCTTTGTGTGTTTATCATCCTCCATGTGTGTTCTGTCCTGCCTATGCTTCGGTCACAGATGCGATCATTGCCAGTGGCTGTAGCCCTAGCAATATTCATTGTGTTCTCCTGGCAGGGACGGCTTCCCGCTTCCTCCCACACAATAGCTCCATGGGAGGGATTCTCCTATCAACACTGACGAATCATTTATGACTTGCCTTAGAGTGGAAGAGGAAGAATAAGCACAAGTCAGTTGTGTTCATGTACTAATGAGAAACATGCTGATAGAAGAAAAGGAAAGAATGACAGAGAGATAATCTCAGCAGTCTGCTGCTTCTCCTTTGAGGCCCATGGCATCAGGCAATTTGGGATTTTGGTGGAATTGGTGCAATTCTGCCTGCAATTCCAAATCCCACTGCAATTTTGGCAAAACACACCGCACATGTGCCATTAATTTTTAATGGCATCTCAAACGCATTCAGTCGTGACAGAATCACACGAGAATCACATTAAAAACGTATTGTGTGAAGCTTGTCATTCAAAACTGAGCAAGAACTTCTTTTGGGTGACAAGTTCTGTTCGATGTGGTTTTCTGCAATTGCCACAGGATAAATTGTGATACAATCGCGGCACAACCGCACAATGTTTGAGGTGCCATTAAAAAGGAATGACACACAAATACACGTGGTGCGTTTTACCAGGATTGCAGCGCAATTTAGAGTCATGGGCAAATTTGCAGCAAATACACCCACTATCCCAAATCACCAGATCTGAACAAGGCCTTACTGTCCAGTCACAGGCTGAGGGAGGGACAAGACAGGGCTATGTGTGTGGCAGAGCTGTGTAAAACTCAGAACTGGATAAACAGAAATGCAAATCCTTTGGCAAGTAAAAAAACTCCTAAATAAGTATTTTATCTGTGTATTTTGCTGTTTCACTAACCTTCAGCTTTAAGTGATGCTTTTCAGTGATACTTTAGGTTTTCATTATCATTGTAATATGCAATTATTATCATTAAGTCGCTGTTATAGACTTGCAGTTTTGCAAAAGTGTGCGTGAGTAATGGAAAAACAAACTGTAAGTGGACACTGGAATCCTGGTCAGACTTTAAAGTTCAACTAGACAATGGCCTAAACCAGTTTATTGAAATGGTTGGGGAAGTGGCAGAGCGGAAAGAGATATTCACATCTGCTCTAGGGATGATGTCGCTGCACATGTGCTGTGCGCTCTGCATTCAGAGCACACTGAATGTGCCACAAATGCAGAGAGTGCTGTGCCGCAATTTTGACTCTTGCGCACATGAGCGGGAGTGATATCTTTGCAGCTCAGCCAATCAAATATCTGGAGAGCATGAACCCGGAAAGAACAGAAGGAGAAGATGGAAGCACCAGAATTGGTGACAGCTTGGCATTGGAGGGCTCCATTTAAAAGGAAAATCTTCTATAATATGCTAGTATGGGTCTTATTAACAAAAAAAGGATAGTTTCCTATCACTTTAAAATACAAAAAATGTCACAATATTTGTCATGTGAAGTGCTGAATATTTAGCATGCTTTATAATTACACCTGAAATTACTTCAACATAAGCCTTTACCTACATGGCAAACCAAGCATTCTTTATCTTAGAGGCAATTTTCGATTTCTGTAAACCACAAAAGCAATGAAAATCTCTCTATATACATGCAGGGACACATATGAAACTTTAGAAATTCCTAGTTTTAGTCATTAATGAAAGGATTAGAAATACTTCAAGTGGAATTACAGTTTAATTAGCTTTAAAAAAGAACATTATAAGATGAAAGCTCTTAATTATAGCACAGAAAGTACTATCTGAACTGCCAGTGTGACGTTTTAAAAAATCTGTGACATTCCGAGATGATCTACCCAGGCTCCGTTACTGCTGTGACACAAAATAGCTGGTATCCTCCCTCTCCGCATGCACTGACAATATATATGGAAGTTACAGGGAGAGCAGAGGTGAAAGATGACAAACATCACATGGGAGGATTGGGAATTAAACAGTAAATCTGCAGGAGATTTTTTTTTCCCTAACAGTTTTTTATGTTTCATCTAATCCTTTAAAATGCTCTGTTTTCTATTTGCAGCAGCCCTTTACTTGTAGGTTTAGTTGCAAAAGAGTGCTTTACAGAACATTACAGTATAAATGGTAATAGTATTCTAAGTGGTCATTTGGGGCCACTTAAAGTGAATACTATTATGGAAGCAAACTGCAATGGAAATACATAACAATAATCTGTGCAGCTATCTTCAAGCTACATTCTCCTAGGTTTACCTAAGATCTATATGATAATTATTTCTTTTGTCGCATTAAAGAATATGCATGGTGCCTTATCAACACAATTTACACCTTATGATAGCTAAAAAACACAATGCTAACAGCACAGGTTAACCATTATTCTAAGTATTTATGCTCTCATACAAAATTGATGTTGTTTGCAGTTTATTCTTCTTTTTCTTATTTTATTAAACCATAAACACTAGAGTAAAATTATGCAGCGGTTTGGAAATGCCAGTCTTGACATAGTGAACCACAGACAAGTTTATATCTATGCTAAGATTTACAAGGCCAAGTGCAAAATGTAGGCTTATTTTATGATTAGATAGTGAATATAATATCACAGAGTTCTGGCGTATAGGTATAGGAACTCATAGGGCCTATATGTATGCTAAAGGGCCCAGCCTAGTCATACAGGATTTATTATAGTACAATGCCTTAATGGTTAGTACTTCTGTCTTACAGAACTGTGGCCCTCAGTTCAGGTCCCAGACCGACTATCTGTATTAATATACAGGATTTATATAGTGCCAACAGTTTGCGCAGCGCTTTACAATATAAAGGGAGACAATACAATTACAATGCAGTTCAATACAGAAGGAATAGGAATACAGAGGGCCCTGCTCATGGAGCTTACATTCTGTATTGAGTTGACCTGTTTTCCCAGTGCTTGCATGGGTATACCTCTGGCAATGCTGGTTTCCTCCCACAATTCAACAAAAGGCTGGGCATTTGCTCCTGTCTAAATTAGCCCTAGTATACAGTACATGCGTGTTTGCATGTTAGACAGATACCTAAGATTGTAAACTCCTTGAGAGCAGGGACTGATGTGATTGTGCAGTATGTAAAGTACTGTGTAAACTGTTTATGCTATATAAACACCAGAAATAAATATCAGAACTAGACAGGCAATACAAAATGTTGCCAAACTTGCAAATTCTACATGGCATTAGGGTCATTAATAGTATCTTGGTGTCATCATGAGAAACATGTTGCTCTCTGGGCAGCTCTTTCACAATAAGCTTTGTTTTCTTTCTTTTTTATGTTAGCAAAACTGCCTTACTGTCTTTAGCCTATATAATGAGCACTATATTGCCAAACGTATTGGGACACCCCTCCAAATCATTGGATTCAGGTGTTCCAATCATATCCATGGCCACAGGTGTATAAAATCAAGCACCTAGGCATGCACACTGCTTCTACAAACATTTGTGAAAGAATAGGTCGCTCTCAGGAGCGCAGTGAATTCAAGCGTGGCATTGTGATAGGTTGCCACCTGTGCAATAAGTCCATCCATGAAATTTCCTTGCTACTAAATAGTCCACAGTTAACTGTTAGTGGTATTATAGCAAAGTGGAAGAAACTGGGAACAACAGCAACTCAGCCACGATGTGGTAAACCACGTAAGATGAGAGAGTCAGCACAGAAAGCAGAAGTCGACAACTGTCTACAGAATCAATAGCTAAAGACCTCCAAACTTCATGTGGCCTTCATATTAGCACTACAAAAGTACACGGAGAGCTTCATGGAATGGGTTTCCATGGCCAAGCAGCTGCATCCAAGCCTTACATTACTAAGTGCAATGCAAAGTGTTGGATGCAGTCGTGTAAAGCACGTCGCCACTGGACTTTAGAGCAGTGGAGATGTGTTCTCTGGAGTGACTAATCACGCTTCTCTATCTGGCAATTCAATGGATGAGTCTGGGTTTGCCAGTTGCCAGGAGAACTTGCCTGACTGCATTGTGTTACGTTTGGTGGAGGGGGATTATGGTGTGGAGTTGTTTATCAGGACTTGTGCTTGGTCCCTTAGTTCCAGTGATGGGAACTCTTAAGGAGTCAGCTTACCAAGACATTTTGGGCATTGTCCAACTTTGTGGGAACAGTTTGGGGATGGCCCCTTCCTGTTCCAACATGACTGCAGACCAGTGCACAAAGCAAGGTCCATAAAGACATGGATGAGCAAGTTTGGGGTGGAAGAACTTGACTAGCCTGCATCTCTACCCAACAGAACACCTTTGGGATGAATTAGGGACTGATAGCCAGGCCTTTTCGTCTGACATCAGTGTCGAACCTCACAAATGCACTTCTGGAAGAATGGTCAAACATTCCCAGAGACACACTCCTAAACCTTGTGGACAGCCCTCCTAGAAGAGTTGAAGCTGTTATAGCTGCAAAGCGTGGGCCAACATAATATTAAACCCTATGGACTAAGATGCCATTAAAGTTCATATTTGTGTAAAGGCAGGCATCCCAATACTTTTGGCAATATAGTGTATATTTTACACTTGCTTTACTGAGTAATTGGTGCCATTTCATTTACTTCACTGGACCAAACAGAATTTGGTCAAGCATACAAATGTGATCTGTTATCATTTATGTGGCTGCATTTTATTCCCATTCTGGCACTGGGCCCATTGAGGTAGCACCTATGGAACATTTATAAATAATACATATCTTAAGTACATATACACATTTAATATGTGTCCTATATGTCCAGCTATGCAACAGAAAACTCAACAGTCAGGTAAAAACTATAGCTTCATCCTGAACAGAACATCACAGAGACTACCCATTCCCTCCCTACAGCTACTAGTTTGCATAAGGATTTTTTTTGCATACATTAGTTATATCTTAAGAAAAAGGTCATATATTTTCATGCAAAGAGTACTGTATCAAAATGAGACCAGCCAAAGATGAAACGTAATGGAAAGCTGTCACAAACCTGAGCAATCTGACCTTAGCATACAATACAAAATGCATACAACTCCCATTCCTCCTCCCTCTTCCTCTGTTGCTCACCTTATTTCTTTCCCTTCCCCTCTTGTCTCCTTTCTCTTTCCCCCTTCTCTTCTCCTTGACATTAGCTTGTCCTGGCTAGATTCCCATACAAGGATTACCAAACGGAATGTCATCTCCCTAAAAGTAACATTACTTTAGCGACTGTCCCAATCCTTATATTTTCCTTATAGGAATGTATTGCTCTGATTTTTATGCTCCACCTAAAGCATTTCCTTTAGTACCGAGACTTCAGCTCATCACACACCATTTGTTGTCCCCCCCCCCCTCTTTTTTGCTCCCTTGTTACATATTCTAAATTTTGGAAACTACGTTTATGGCTAATATTTAAACTGTCTCCTGCCTCTAATAATCAGATTAGCTTGTTTGTTCTGTAATGCTGACGTTCCTTAATGTAACGTGTTATTCATACTCCTTTTAATTTTAGTGTACTGTTTGCCTTGGTCCTCAGGCCTTTTTGTACGTGTTTTTTTTTTTCTTTCCAATAAAGTATCCGAGGAATTAAAATACATATAGATAGGTTACTTGTGAAAAAACTCAGTGACCAATGGACAGAGATATACAGTACTCGTGTTGACAAGCATGTAATTGTGTACGATGTTAAGCTTGTTGCAAAGCAGATGTCTGCTAACTGTAAAATAATAATCTTCAGCTCAAGGGTGCAATAAATGGGCCACATGGATCAGCTGCTTTGCAGTTTCAATGGAACTTAATTGCCAGGAGATCACATATACACACCTGTTCTGCCTTTGCGTTTTCACAAACGAATATCTCATACACTGTTGCAAATTCCGGGGCATTGTCATTTACATCCAGAACTTTAATATACACAGGAACACGACTGCTTTCTTTAGGATTACCTGTAATAAAAAGATAAGAGACCCGTATGTGTACCATGGCTGTATAAGATGAACTGTACCAAGATCAGAAACCAGACGCTAAATACTTAATTTTGGAAAAGGTCTCTTTTTTTGTTAATGTTGTGCCTGTGAGTCTTTGAATTTGACAATCAAACGCCTAATTAGGAGAAGACAAGCTGTGTATTGCCAGTTTTACAGCCACTTTCCCAAGCAGAAAATTGGAAGTACTGTGTAAATGTATCATGGCACTATTTTTACAAAGACAAAAATACACCAATAAACAGCAAATACATCATAAAACAAGAACAATGCTTTAAAATTGAACATATTCAACCCTAGATGCCTTTCAAACTGCCCACAAGTGATAGTCAACATAATGATACTTACAATGACCCCCAACTGTCCAGCATTAGATGTTATTTGGAGTTGTGCTCATGTGCATTGATCGATCTTTGGGAGAAGTGTGGTAAACTGAGTTATTGAACTATATGCTTGCAACTTCCATATATCACGGAGGCCAACCTACATCTTCTTCCAAATGATCACAAGATGCTGTGGTTTGTTGATAATAATCATAACTCAGTGGAAGTCAGCAGTTGCAATCACTCAAAGTGCAGACTTCCACTGCAGGACATAAAATAACCATTACTATCCAAGGCACTTACAAATAGAAATTTATTTCTACACAAACCTATACATTTGTGTGTTCTGTAAAGTGCAAAGCTTCACAACCCACCTAGTGATGAAACTGATTTGCCATCTCTTTCCTTTTCTTTGTAATAGTAATCTATAAAATATAATGATTTCATTGCTGGGTTTTTTTTTTTTTGCTTAACTCTGGATCAACTGTGGGTATAGGATTATAACTTTTTTTTTTTAATGGTTGAACTGGATGGAATTTTGTCTTTTTTAAGCCAGACTAACTATGTAACTATGATAGGTCAAACAGATAAGTCACATTTTTTTAATTGTACCTTTTTATAAATTGGGCATATGTTCTCACTTTTGACAATTTTGCAGCAGTATCAATTTGTATGGTAAGGATGAATGATGAGTTTGGGTGATGGCTCAATTTATCTGTGAATACAATACTTTTCTAACTAACTAAAGAGATTTTGTCCTATTTCCCTGAAAAGGCAGGTTGTTTTAATAAGGGCGTGCCTTTCTGAGTGACACTTGCCTTCCCTGCAGTCCCCGCTACCCTGTTCACATTTGGAAGCACTACATGTAAACATTCTGTGTTGATCTGTTTTAAAGCTTACATAGGGTTAATGACCTTCTCCAACAGGTTACATTGCTAGTGACAATGCTAGACTGGCTGCTCAGGCCTAGGAAAAAGGGGATAAGTCCACATGCTCCCCCATGATTGAAAGTACCAAGTATTTCCAAGGGCTCTAAAAAAGCAACCAGAACTGCAGGAAAGTGCAGTGAAGGTGAACATAAGTGTGTGGGGTGGTGCCCTATTAGGTGAGCCTGTCACTGTGCCCTAAACTGGTTCTCTTCAAAGCGGAACTATACTCACCTCCAATGCAACATCATTGGACAGACGGAAATGGTGTCACTCCCGCTCTTGCACAATCTCCCTGTATAGGGTTAGACAGGCAGGTAGGTAGCTGCATGTCTCTTCTGCATTAAAAATCCTACCTGTTCACCCATTTTTAATGTTATACTTAAAGTTCCACTTTAAGCCAGCTATATCCAGAACCCCAGCCTAAGCACTGAGTATAGCACATTTGGCAATACACCTGCTCCAGCTAACTGAAAGTTGGGCTACAGCCCAATGTGGGTGAAACATGTCAGGGGGTGTGACAGATGGGCTGGGATCTGAGCTGAAGCCTGTCTTACGTTGGAGTTTTACAGTGTACATTAGTACCTGCATGCCATATTAGGAAAAAAAAGCTGTTAGAAACAAAACTAAAAGGATCTCCTGACAAACAGCAGTGATTGGACAGAGTTTATCTAAACTTATGGATTTGTGATTCTATAGGCTGATGGGAAAATGCATGCAATTGATTGCTTAATTCACAGCAGTGATTGGCCAGAGTTTATCTAACCTTAAGAAGTGTGATGCTAAAGGCTGGTGGGCACATGCATGCAGAAGTGCAATTAAAAGAGAAGTATGGACTTTTTTTTTTCTCTCCGATGCTGCATTGGTCCCCTGCTGGTTCTAAGGGTGAGAACTCAGCGATCACATGACCACTGATCGTTGCGTTCTCACAGCTGCTCTGAGCAGAGAGCGGGACTGAAGACACCACTCTCTGCTCTGCAGCTGTCTCAGGCTCTCAGTGGCTAGCTGAGGGCCTGAGCCAGGTGCCAATCCAGACTCTGGGGGAGAATCCTTTAAAGTCAGGATCTTTTCCTGAGTGACATCAGCCAACATCAACTTCAGCCCACTGTCAGCTGAAAACGGGTCAAAGGAGTGCAGAACAAATTGCACTCCTGTGATCCACAGGAGAAGTACAGCCATGAAAACTTTGGCTGCACTTCTCCTTTATAGCCAAAAACGTATTTCTAGATTTGTGTATGGCAAGAAATGGTTAAAATCCCATTCAGCTTTTCATTTGCTTTCTGTCTCAAGACACATCAGAAAGTGGGAAATCTTTCCTTAGGACTCGTTCACAGATGTGTTGATCATGAAGAAAGAAGAAATGCTCACTAATGCTCCTATAGCATTTATGATGGGTTCATGATGTGTTTTCAATGTGTTGAAAACTCTTTATAACTGTCCTTAAAAGTGTTGCTTTTCTAGTGGGAAGTGCTCAAAGCGGAAGTGATGTAGAGGAAATGATCTACAGCAGGGGTGTTCAAACTATGGCCCTCTAGGTGTTGAGGAACTTCAAGTCCCATGAGGCCTTGCAAGACTCTGACAGCCACAGGCAAGACTGTAGTAAAGAACAAAAGAAAAGAGCGCACCAACCTTGCGCATTACCTCAGTAAACAGTTTATGTATTTATTAATAAATTATACTCACAAGAGTAGCAGTAAAAAGGGCATATAATATCCATAGCCAACACAGGTTTAAAAGTCATGTGTGAGTTCCATCTGGAAGGGAGATAAACTCTTGGTCAAGCTAATGCGTTTTGAAGGGTGATCCCTACTTCCTCAGAGCTGGATTATAGATAGAAATATTCAATTTGGATTCAGTTCCTATTCATAGAAGGCATTCAGCCACTGCTGTATGTGTCAGTGTTTCTGTTCATTTTGTGTTAGCTTGATCAAGAGTTTATCTCCCTTCCGGATGGAACTCGCACATGACTTTTAACCCTGTGTTGGCTATGGATATTATATGCCTTTTTTACTGCTACTCTTGTGAGCAGAATTTATTAATAAATACATGAACTGTTTACTGATGTAATGCGGAAGGTTGGTGCACTTTTTTCTTTTGTTCTTTACTACAGTCTATATCAAGCTTCCCCAGCTTTGTGATAGAGCTGCACAACCTTTGATCAGTATTGGATGAACATACCTTTTCATTGGATTAATCTTCCTCTGATCTGAGCCCCTGAGTGCAGGAGGTGGTGGATTTGAGCCAAAGGCAAGACTCCAGAGGCAGAATCATGATAGACTTGTAGTACTTCAACAGCTGGTGGGCCATAGTTTGGAAACACCTGATCTACAGTACTTTGAGGTGTGATTAGGTTGTGGGGTGGTAGCAGACATTTGTGAGCTTTGCTAGCACTAAAAACGTTGCCACTGACAATAATTCTCAACGACTCTGCTCCTGCATAGTACTGTCAGTATTGCTGTCTGGCATGATGCTTTTACCCGCACAGAGAAGGAAAAGGTTTTACAACATTGCTGCTCTGTACAAACAGAAAGTGACTGGAGCTGCTCTGCCTCAGTAATCTATTATTTCTCAATGCATTCTGGGATACAGGAACCTCCCCTGCCTCTCGCTAAATGTCCAGTTAACAAGCCATAAATGCTATAGGTGCTGTTAAGGTGCAGTGACAGAGCATTACCACTGAAATCAATAGATGTGGCTGACAAACATTTGTTGCCTCATCAAAGCGACATACTGCTTAATTTTTAGCAGGACACAAAGCTACAGCTCCTGTATGAACAGCACTGTATGGTGCCATTGTAATATTCACGGCAGGCATTAAAGGGCCATTATGAGGCTTTAAAATACTGAATAAATGACGATTAAAACACATGATATTGACACATGTGTCGACGAGTCCTTATACAAGTTTCATCAAGTTTCATTCTCCACTGGAAGATTTCCCCTCTATACTTGTTCCAGCGACAAATGATCACTTTGGAACTTCTTTCACTTTTCAGTCTTATTGCACTGGTCACCAGAACAAATAATGAGTGTGGAGCTCCCCAATGGGGACACAGATAGTAATAAAACCTGATAGGGGTTCTAACCCATCTCTATTCTATAAAAGTAAATAAATACACAAAATTGGCTTTAGATACTTGGCATTATCAGCAGCAAATGGATAGGAGATGAGGTCATGAAATAATACACATTACTGTCATTATTAAAAACTGAATCATACAAAAGAAATAATCGAATAACTAGTTCAAATGCAACGTAAATCTGCATATAATCACGTATTATGTATTATGATTACATATAGCACACAATGATCTTTTATTCTATTAATACCTACATATTATGCAATGACTAGATGCCAGACTGTTTTCAAAACTTCAATGACAATTTGTCCTAGATAGCCTGCAAGATGCAATTTTATAGTGTGTGCATCTGCCAATACCAGGCCCTCATGTGTAATTGGGTCTGCCTTTCACACTGACTTCATAGTTGCTACTAATTGTATTAACTTTAATCTTGCTCTGGGTGACTTCCAGTAAAGGAAGTGATGTGTTTGTGTCAGTGCTGATTGGGATTATACTAGCATTTAATTATCAAATGGTTGTTACAAAATAGATTTGATTATTATACCAAAGCCATAATCTGTAAGCACAGTTATATTGCATTAAATAACTATTTTACATTTATCTCAAGCTTTTCAATAGGAATTGCAGAC